CTTTTGACTGTATATTCTTCTGGTTCTTATATTTAAGAACATTTTATGCTTGCAATATTTGAAAATACAAAAGTGTGACTCAAGTATTATGAACATACGTATGTATCAGAAAAATGGAAAGCAATTCGTCTCAGAGTGTACCATTGTTAGGCTGTTGCTAAAAGATTGCCATAATAATTTATAGAAGTTCGAAATGAAGTCGGAGAACTAAGACAGAGAGCAAATACGAATGACCTGCACTGCTTTCTTCTGAGCTGTGGAACTATTTACCATGTTTTCAGCCTATTCCAAAAGTTTCTGTCGATTTCTTGGAGATGCACAGATCTTGTATATGGACATACATAGGTAATGAGGGCATTTTATGTCTCTGCTTTGACAGTGGGCAGTATGTCTGCTGCAAAAATAATACAAGTAAATACCAAATGCGGCAAGGGCTTTAAAGTGCTCTGAGAATGTTGAGTAAATACATAGAAATTGGTTCTAACTTGAGGAAAGAATTAATGTTCTGCCAGTTCAATCTGTGTAGGATCTTCCATGCTGCATGTAAAGAAGAAGTTGAACAACCGCTTTCTTAGGTAAAAAAAAAACGAGTGCCTCTTTTAAAAGCACCTGGAGGTGTGGTTGCAAGTTTAGATTTCTTGTTAGCCTTTTGGTTACCCGCCATTCGTTGTTTGTGCCGGGATCCAACTCAAGTATGGTCTGATGGAGATTAGGAAGACGAGAAGTTCTTTTACCAAAAATGTTATTTTACGCTTATGCTTTCTACAAATTGCTGGCATTATGAATATTCAGTTTTATATTCATGAAGTGCTGGAACCAGAAGTCTCACCCTCACTACCGAATCATATTGCTACTATATTGTATTGCGGTTAAAATGTTGCGTGCTATGGGGGCAGCAGTATTTCAAGACAATATAACTGCCCATATCGAACTCATTCTTCACACAGCCCATCAGCGGCCGAGCGGTAAAGTCGCTGAACACTGGTAGTTCGGTCCGAGGTTCGAATCCCGCGAACGGGCTGGCTGCATGGGCGTTTTCGTGGTTTTCCCCATGTGTAACGTGTATACGAGCCAGTTTCCCTTAGAAAGTCCTCCACGAAGGCATCCCTCCTCTTAGGCAGATAGCCCTAGTGTGCTTTGCCATAATTAAATAAACCAAAAACTACCATTCTTCACCCGTTCTTGCATGAGTATTAAATGCTAACTCTTTCTTGTCCTGCATGGTCTTCTACGTTGTATCTACAGAACACTCGCAAAGATCTGCTCCGACCTGATGGCATGCCATTACGGTTCACCGCGAAGCCGAAGCAGCATTCCTTTTGCGGAAGATGTCATTGTGAGGTCTAGAGCTTTTGTACAACTGTAAGGTGCTTGGTGTTGGCGACAATGGATTATGGAAGGGAAAGTCTACCGTTGCGGAAGATCAGAGCGTCCTAGGAATACAAAGGAGCACAAAGATTGCGCAATAAATAAAATCGGCCACTACCGTACCAACAGTGTCGCTAGCATCGATTCGACACCATTTATCACCTTTCAGGCATCCAGAGGTATCAAGGAAAATCACTCGAAGACGACTGGCCGACGCTGGTACATGCTGCCGACGCCTACTACTGATCTCACATCATAATGTGTGTGGATTTGATTTTTGACGAACTCGGACAAGCTGGAGTATGATCGACTGGAGGTGTGCGATCTTCAGCAATGAATCCCGATTCAATTTTAATGCTGATGACCAACGCACAAGCGTGTGGAAGAGGCCAAGCCAGCGATTTGACCCAGCATTTGTTGTTGAGCGATTACACAGTGTGTAACAGTGTGCTGAGCATTCTGTTGGGACACACAATTACCTCTAGTCGTCCTTCAAGGCAGTATGACGGCTCGCAGTTATGTAGACGGCATTTTAACGCTGGTTGTACTGCATATGCTATCAGGTCGACCAGGTGCCATTTATCAGCAAGACAACGCTCATCCACATACTGCACGACTTTCTCAATAATGTCTTCAAGGATATGACATACTCCCGTGGCCTACCAGGTCACCTGACCTCTTGCTAATAGAGCACGTTAGACATGCCTGGAGAGCAACTTCAGCCGTCTCGGAATATTGGTAAATTAACTCCCCGTTTGCAAAGATTATGACATTATCTTCCGCAGGGTGTCACTACTTGATTCGATGCCACGCCATGTTTCGGCTTGTGTAGCAGCCAAAGGTGGCCATACTAGTTTGTGATTTGGAACCTTTCGCATGCCATAAATTAATAAAACGGTCTTTTGTTCTGAATTTGTAATAATTTATTCATCTCGCCATACTTTACATACGTTTTAAGTTTCGTGATAGTAGTTCGTTTCCTTCTGGGTATGTATATTTTTTTGTTGCAGAGTGTATATTTGCCGTATTTCTTTCAAAAATCAGAACTGGATTATAGAATCAAGTTATTATGATAGTCCATTAAAACACTTTTCTTAACAATACCACTAAACGTTATTAGTATTTTACATATCAAAATGAAATTTTAGTATCAGATAAATTTAGCTTTCATCACAAAAAACTTTATTCTTTACATTCAGAGTAAATCACAATATAAAGTTTTATCATTAATTAAAAATTATTATTCAGGGAAATTTTGGATCTTTGCGAAGCCACATCCGGAAGTCTTAATACCAACAGAACGCCAAACTAAACTAAAGAAAAATCTAAAGAAGTTTGTGGGCGCTATATACTCATATAACTGCAATTACCGACATAACTTTGGAATTATTTCATGTCCCTTATACTATCGCTACATGAAATTCAGCCAGATAGAACTACATATGATGCCACACCATTCCCTCTTTGTTTCTTGTTGTTCCATCTAGCCGATCGTCACAATCTCCCTCCAGTTATTCAGGGTGGAGCATCTTCGTTTACTCATTTTGAAAATATTGCGCTCGTCGCTAGCGACAATCAAACTCCAAATATTTAATTGCGTCTTTTTCGTTACCCTTGTTCATTTACATACATACCACCTAGACTATTACTGCGCTTTGTGTGCAATTTAGTATAGTTATTTATTGCTCTTCTAGTATTTAGGCATTGCTTGACTGCGCGATTTGGTGCAAGTTCGTTGTAAAGTTTAATTTCATAATAGTCTTCACAATACCTAGTGCGTGGTAGACTTTCTTTTCCTTGAAAGAACACAACAGCTTCTTTTTCAGTCGAAAACAAGATGAAAGAAGTTAATACACTTTCGGATGAAATATAAATTTTGAAAAGCATATGGAGTATCATTATAACGAAGATCTGACCACGAGAAGTTGACATAAAAAATATTAGTCGCTGAAAAAGTGAGGGGTGCCATATTACAGGCCATTAAAATTAATTATTGCAGTCAATTAATCACGTTTCGTTCGAAAATCCACAAACACTTTGTTTTGTTTAAATTTCCAACAGTATTTATTTCACATTTTTACATCGAAGCGAATGGTTTTGAATTAAAGTTCTGTCCGCAAGTACGCTCTTTATAGACAACTTAAGAAAAGTGCACTTGCTTTATTCAAAACTAGCCGCTAGCCTTCGTCTGGCTTTTAAATGTACCGTAAAAATGCCTAAAGGGAACATCAAACAATAAATTTGAAACCTGCACAGAATTTTACTCTGCAGAAAAACTTTTTCAAAAAATAAATAAATAAAATAAAATAAAATAAATAAATAAATAAAAAATAAAGAAGTATCACATATTAAAAAAAATTATAATGAAATAAGCAATATCCCTTAATACAAATTACAAATATTAATTATCCTAATAAATAAATTAACTAACTTCCCATTGCAAAATCTTAAGAATTCAAATGGTATAAAGGAAGTTATAAATTTCGTTTCCTAAAAAAAAAAAAAAAAAAAAAAAAAAAAAAAAAAAAAAAAAAAAAAACATGCAAAACTTTTTATACAGTTAAAATTATATATAATTAAAACATATATAAAAACATTACAATGAAAAAAGCAATAAATCTCAGATTTTCAAGAGAAAACAGTCAGCAGTCCAGTATCGAAAGCAATGAATGAAAAACTATTGCTAAAAAAAAAAAAAAAAAAAAAAAATTCTTTTAGTTCTGCCTCTCAAAACACATAATAATAATAAGAAGAAGTAGATTGTGATGTGCGTGTTGCGTGTCCAAAAATCAAAAGAAAATAAGAAGCATGAAATATGCAATATCCTTTAATACAAATATTAATTATCCTAATAAATAAATTAACCAACTTCCCGTTGCCAAAAAAAAAAAAAAAAAAAAAAAAAAAAAAAAGCTAAATTTTTCAGTGTTTCGAAAACAGTGAAATAAGCAATAAATACTTTATCTCATATTTTAAACATTTAGCAGTCCAGTATAGAAAGCATTGAATGAAAAACTCTTGCCAAAACCACATTTCAAAAGAATGAAATGATACGATTTAATCGAAAAAGATAAAAAAGAAATCTGATTCGAATTTTGAAAAAATCGCTTTGAGGTGCATTGGCTTTTGTCTAGATGCACCTATGTACCAAATTTCGTAGCCCTGGGTCTATTAGCTTACGCGGCAGCACGAACGAAAGACAAACACACACAGACAGACTCTTTTATCATATGTAGAAATAGAGAAGAGATAATCTTTTGAACGAATGAAGAAATGTGAATGTGTCGATTCTCTCTGCTACTGTGCTTATCAGATGTAATAATGCCAAGTCGTAAAAATTTAAACTAATAAATTTGCTTTTTGGTTTCACTATTAGAAAAGAATACAGAAAAATGTGCGTCAGTATAAAGCTTAATTTTCTTTCGTCAACCATTAAGAACAGTTTTTTAGATTCTACTAAAAAGGAAAAAAAAAAAAAAAAAAAATACCTAACTGCATAAACATAGAGAAAACACACACGTTGAAGATATTAACCCTTTCATGTGAAAAATAATAACATTAAGCATATTCCTAGATATTTTCTTTACCATAAAATAAAAATTGGATATTTTATTGAAACAGTTTGTAAAAAAGCTTGATACTAGATATGTACAGTGTTATATGTAGTAAGATAAAAGATCTTGGCTTTGTTTGCACTGTAGAAGATTTACTTCTGGAGTAAAATTTCTACCAGTCTCTGATAGTTCGCCATCATCCAGCACATCGGATAGAATCAACGAGTCCCGACTTTCGATAGTAGACGAATCTTCGCGACTGACATCTGAATTAGGCGCATCTTCATTGATATCATCTAAGTCACTAAAAGTAAGACATGCCATAAATATAAGTACATAGTTAGAGACAAAAATTTCAGGTTTCGTAATTATGCAAGAATATTTAATAAGGAAGATGACATAAAGTAGCATACAAAATAATCCTCAGAAGTCAAGATATCGAACTGTCGTTTGAAATAACTTATGTTGACTGTTAAAAATAGAAATATAAAAGTTAATTATGATTATTATTGTCTTAGTCATCTTTGAGTAAGCGAGTGAATTTTAATGGCAAAACATTTTGAAGCATAAAAGAATGAGAGGAACATGGTGCTTTTCTCTTTGCACTTTTGCAATAACTTCCTTGGAACATTCAGCTCTGGTGTTACGCTGCATGTTGAAATAAATTAAAAAAAAAAAAAAAAAAAAAATGCTAACTAAGAAATACTGTTTTATAAAACGAGTACGTAAAAATATTTCGCATCTTTAACACATTTAACGTCTTCGTAATGCAGCTTGTAGAAAAAGAAAGGTCAACTGGATCATTTGAAGGATTTTTAGTTACAATTAAATGAAATCAGTTAAAATTACTACCAGTATTCGAACCTCATTTAAAGCAAATTTTTATCAGGAAGTCATTGAAAACACTTGAAAACAAAACGTCTGATGTTCTAACAATACCGAAATTCAAAGTTCAAATGCGCTGAGAGTTATCGACAAATTCCATAAAAAGCACATTGTGGAAGATAAGGTATTGTGTAACTAAGATTACGTGAGAATTACTTTTAACCGTAATTTTTTAAAGGAAGGGTTCCATTTATTTTCTAATTTTGGTTTGATCTATTTTTTACTTTAATTCATTTCACAATTACGATTTAGCGTATTGTAAAGGAATGCTTTTCTTTTATTAAATATTACTGTAACGTCTTTGCATTGCTATGCTACCAACATAATACCCAGTAAGAAATGTAAAGAAACCCCACGTGTAAAATATCCGTGCTTGAAGATGCACGTGCTTAAAATGTTTTTCAGTTATTCTGTAAGTTTGACTAAAAAAAAAGTTGATTTTCGATCAAAATGGCGAGATTTCTTTAAAACTTCATTGCAAGTACTCAGTACCTTAACCTCATAGAGTATTTAAAACTGGCCTTTTGCTTTGATAATGGCCTTTGAAAATAAATAATTTCCGGTAGTAATATATTCTTATTGTCAAAATTTCGCTAAGATTTAAACTATCAGCGAATTTAGCTCATATGAATCCTTATTGACATTAAACTAACTTCCAGTTTGCATTTCAATACGTCACAGTTTCGAATTGCTTTAAGAACCCGCTACGCATCCAGAAAATTCCTATGGGAAAACTGATTGTTAATTCCTACAGGTCGAAATTGTATGTTAAGTTTTAGTAACTCATATGAGATTTCGATTCCTTAAATGTTTTACAATTAAACAAATTGAACTTTTGCAATTCACAAAAACAAATTTCAGGTATATATGATTTGCTAGTTAATATCGTCGAACATCGCTGTTTTTTAGGCTGAGACATCTTTAATTATTTAAGAATCCTGAAAGGCAAGCGAATATCAAATTGTTCATAATTCTGATAGATCATCAAAGAAAAAGAGTTAAAAGAACATTTGCATTCATAAACAGGGGGAAAAAACCAACCTGGAAAAATCATCTAAGAATACATCACATGGGATATTAAAGGCATATATTGACCAGAGGGCGCTAAGATATAATGGAACAGCAATGCCGCCAAGCATGTTCAGAAGAAGTACAACTGTAGCATTCAGAAACTCCTGCAAAGAATTTTATGCACATATTTTACACGTAACGGAAGAATGCATTAAAGGAAAATTATATAATGAGTGCAAGAGAAAAAAGGATGTAGTGAAATCTTCCTACGATGACGAAACCCCATTTCCCCACGATTTTGATCTTTGGAGGAGGTGGTCGCCTTAAAGAGTTGATGTTCAGTACCGAGGCTTAATTAAGTTCTAAATATACAGTGAACCCTATCTGACTCTATTACTTACAGTTCCAGATGATTATATTATAGTTCTCTATGGAGCTAATTATCTAAGAAAGGTAAAGTTCAATTCCTATTTTTTATGATATCAAAAATAGTAATCACGTTTAGAAGTAATTATCATAAAGATGTGTTCCCCACGAGAGAGATCACTGTACTTTCGGAAGTAGTATTTAAGGAAATCTGGGCAATGCAGTTGCGTAGCTTGGGTGGGGCAAGGGGGGACATCTGTCCCCGGGCGTAGCATCCAAGGGGCGCCAAATTGATGCTACAAATTTTGGAATGAAATGTTTTCAATTCTTGGAAGACAGAAAGGAGCGTAAGATCCTCAGTCGTCGCCGGGCGCTTAAAACCTTAGCTATGCCTCTGGGGCAATGAAAGGATTCACCACATTAAACTCATTAAATATAATAAAAGTGAGTCTCTCTAAGGCGGCCATCCACAGCTCCAAATGACTTTACCTCTCTTTCCAAGAGGTTGAGGTAATGTTCAAATAATATTAAAAAATAATTGTCAGTTTCCAGAAGTATATGGTCACCACCGTAGTGTATTTAAGAGAGGTCATTGTACTTTGGAATGTACAATATATTTAATGCGTAGTTATACTGTTATAATATCTTACAGAAATTTATTTGCATGGGATAGCAAATGATGTAAAGAATCTTAATGTCGAGACCCCATTAGTTATTTCGAATAAGTGCTATCTACTTGCTGGAAAGCAACTGTAACTTGCAAACTTGCTGTGTATTTATTTTAATTGATTAAAATCTTGAAGAGAAAAAAAAAAAAAAAAAAAAAAAAAAAAAAAAAAAAAAAAAAACGTTCATATTCTCAGTTCAATATTTTGGTATTCTTCTGTTATAGGAACCGGATTCAGAAATGCACCCGTATATGTATGTATGTGCCTATAAGGGTTGTGCATACACACTTACATATGTGCGTGCAAAACCATGCATAACATGAACACATGAATCCGTGCAAGCATTTCATATCCGGTCCCCATAACAGAAGAGTACCAGTACCTTTTTATGAAGCATAAATCATAGTCGTAAGTAAAAAGATGTAACATTAAAAGTAGGATAATTAAGGATTTTACATAAAAAATATGGATCAGATTTATCAAATATACTTGCGATTCTGAAAATTGGTCAATGTTCATCTTTTTTCACTGTACAATTACAACTATTTGCTGAATTCTGAAGACTAATAATTGTTTATCTCTGTTCACTGTACAACACATTGTTAGTATAAGCAATATAATGAAGAATTTTAATTATGCTTCTGAATATTGAAGTATGGTAAACGTAAATTTCGTTTTCCCACTACTAACGAGATTAAATCTTCTGTTCTGTCCTTTTACTTCCTAAAACCAATATGTAATCGAATTTAAATTACTAAGTCTTTTCAAAATTTAAGCACATTAATTTTAACTAAAATTAAATTTCAATTTGACAAATTTAAAATAAACCATCATTTAAGCAAAAATGCATTAGGACAAGTAGGTAGCAATCTAAGTGGTTAATATTGTTACGAAATGTAAAGGCGCGGTAAAATGGCTTCCCTGCAAAGCAATTTTAGGGTTGCCATAAAATGGCAAGGAAAGGCAGGGTTGCCACATTTGGCGACAAATCGCCCCATTTGGCGACAAAATTGGCGATACGCCATGGACATGGAGAACTTTCTGGAACGAATTCTTACTGGTTTAGCCCAGAATGTTTTCGAACACAAGCCGAAAGCTATATAAACCCTGCTGGTCCGCAGTCAGGGTGAGTGTGTGTACCTCGTCGAGTGGGCGAGTGAGAGTGTGTGCCTCGTCTAGACTGGGAGATAGTTAGTATCGAGTTGGTGCCTCGTCTAGCGAGTCAGTCCGTGCGGAGTCGATCGAGTAGACAGCCGGGCAGCGAGGGCCGAGTGGGTTGTCGAGGGCACCGAAAGAGTCTCGCAGTGTATCGCGGTTAGTGCATCGTCGAGAGAGTGTTGAACTCTGAGAACGACTGGATCGAAGAGTCGGGAGCTGTGCTCTGTGTGTCTTCGAGTGCATCGTGAGTTGTAGCGTGGAGAGTCTCGAGAGTACGTGGAGTTCCGAGAACGACCAAGCAGAGTCGGGAGCTGTACTCTGGTGCTTGGCAGTGAAGCTGTCTCCACTGTTATAGCCTGATAACCTGAAGGATGTGTCGCTGATTGTTCCAGCGTGTTTATAGTAGTTCTTCGATGACTGTTACGTGATTTTGGAGCTGTCCTGATTAAAATTGGATAAATAAAGTGTGTTTCGACACTTCATCAAGTGTCGTCGTTATTCATTCCAAATCTACGAACCCCGTACGAACGTGAAGAAAGAGAAAAACAATATGTAGTTCATAAACGCATTATTGTACTTGTCTATTTTTCATCATATCGCTTACAAGATGCAAATACATATTGCATATGTACTCTGTAAAGGACTAATTACATCTTAGCAGTTATACCTTCTAGTCTAAGAATTCTAATTTGGATATGAGTATTTTTTTTTTTTTTTTTTACATTTCATTTATAGTGGCCTTCGAACATCTTGCTTAATTGGAAAACAAATTACATCTCTCTTCGAATAAAATAAAAGTAAAAAATAAAATATTATAAAATTCGAATTCTAGTTCATAAATTAGTTTTGAAAATATACTAATTTAAATATTCTACAATTCTTCCTTCCTCCAATTTAAATATTCCTGGGAAAGTCCCCTCTCCCAGAGGATTTTGCAAGCACCGCAAATTTAACCATTATATCCACGAATTTCGACTACCGTTCGTGTGTTTCGCCGCGGGGAAGTGATTTCTTCTGTATGCAGGCACACTTCTTTCGGTATGCCATTACTTCTGTCCACTCTTATCTATATGTTTTGTTAAACCCGTAATTATCTTTCTCCTTAGTCTTTAACCAGTACTTTTTTATATTTAATTTAATATTTCATTTTAATGATGTGGAGGCAACTGTAAATACATTAGAAAGGTGCTCTGTAAATAAAACTCCTTGATCCTGTCAGATGGTAGTTGGATTGGTTGGATAGCAGTCTGTGCGGTGGTTAACACACAAAGTATTCTGTGTTTGAATTTCACTAAGTTCTGCTTGCCACTTCTATTCTGCGAGGAATAAGGACATATAAAATTCTCCGATAGTTAAATCCTGTGATGTAGAAAAAGAAAACTTTTAGATATGTTCTGCTAGGGTGAAATGTTAGGGGATAGGAATTGTATGATAGAAGTCTCGATGTTGATGGACTTTCATTCTGTCATTGACATTCTTCACACAATGTTGAGATTTGTCAACACCAGGTACGGAAAGGGTAAATCGATTATAACTTGCATGAAAACATGTTGCAGTTTCATTTCATTTAAGAAAATTGTAACCGAGCATGATCTCAGTCTAACACAGTAGTCTCAAACTCAAATTGTATGCGGGTCAAATGCACAATCTAAAAACAACTGACGAACCAAAATCGGATGTGAATCATGTGACCAGGGGGACACATATAGAACATATGCAGCAGTATGAGGAAAACTTTCTGTTCTTTTCAGAAATAAGTTATCATTGTATTTAAAAAATAAAAGGTTCTGAAATATGATGAATCATTTATAGAAACCCTATATTTTATTATGTTTCTGCATATAAATATCAATTTAAGAAATCAATCCAATTAACAGCCATAGGTAAGGTGTTTATTTATTCTTTTTATAGCGATTACGGTATTAAGAAAAGTTAACTTTTAATATTTACTATTTGATCTGTGGTGTCTACTGATGAGAGATGGAAGCGTTAATATATATTTTGGGATAAAGTAAGATAACTGGCCGAGAATGAGACCATGTACTTCAAACATAGTTTTACGTCAGAGAGTCTTCATCGCGCATCTAACTGCCCACCAGCAGCCGATCAGAAAAAAACCACTGAACACTGGTAGTTTAAACGGGTTCAAATCCCGGCGAACGAGATGACTACATGAAAGTTTTTATGGATTTACCCCCGCATAAACTAAAAATGAGATATTTAGTTTCCTTTAAAAAATGCACCAAGAAGGCAAGCCTTTTGTGCTTTGCCATTATCCAAATATAGCTAACCCTAATTATGTATTTTACCAACGTATTAGTAATGAAATTCAGGAAACAAAAGTCACATTTCTTTGTGTAGACAAAAAATTCCTGGTCCGTAATGTAAAATGAAAACGAATTTTTATTCCAATGCTCTTTTCCTAGCCCGTGAGTGGTTTGCTATAATTAATCAATAAAGTAGGATTCTTACCTATTTCGTCATGATTGGACAGTTTTGAAAATTTTGCTAATGGCTTCTAATGACTAATAAGAATGTCTTTAACAGTAATAAATCTCTGCATCATTCTCAGTTTTTGGTAATTCTGTCCATACATTTGATTATTTATAGAAAACTTAATTTGACCAAACGATTTCCACTTCGATGATGAATGAGGATGAAAATTTCAAAAACTATACGAGCAATATGAAGTATTTCTGAGTGAAATTTTTAAAGACGAAAAGCTATTCTTACCTGAGTTTCATTATTCATTATTAGCTCCTCGAGGCTGTAACATGTGACTGTCGCTACAAACAAAAGAATCAAGAGCACGTTCATAGCTAAGAAAAACTTCCGAAAGTCCACATAACATTTTGCTTGAAAATCAAACTGGAAAACAAAAATAATAATAAAAAGGGGGGAAAGAAAATTCATATGATTTCAAATAATAAAAATAAATTATTGAGCATAAATGTAATTAATCAACCGTTCGTATGATGCGTTGCTCCATATCGTGTATTGCTTGATGTAAATGATTCAAGTTTTCCTCCACAATGTCTAGAAGGGCATTCATATCCTCCGCATCTTGTCCTATATTTAAAAATGGTTAAATACCTTGTTACAATGCAAGGAAAGACGAATTTTTTATTTATAAATTCTCCATTATTCGCCTAATGAAAATCTATTACATGATAAATAAACAAATAAGTCTAAACAAATATAATCTGAATTAATAAAATTGCTTCTAAATCAAAGGGTAAAAAGATAATTATTTTTATAAAGGGAAAAAAACATACTCAAAATTCGCAGTGAAAATTTACCAAGTCTTAACTCATCCCGAATTCCTCTCTTGTCGAAGCACAAGATGAAACTAACCACGGTCATATGCGTAGAACAAGTAAGTAACATACTAATGAGCAACATAAGTGAAATACGACTGCAAAATTACATTCAAAATGCATTAAATCATGCACCGGTTTTCACTAATTTAAGGCAAAGCATGTGAAACACATAAATAAAATTAGAATCTAATAGCAATTTCCTTACTTTTTTATCTGCCATACACAGACTTATTTAGCTGTGTTGTTATTTAGCTATTTAGATAGCATTTCTTCTTTCTTTTTGCATGTCTTCAGGGTGTAAAGATAGCATACTCGGCGCGTATCGAGAAATTCCTGTTCCAGTCCTGGCCAAGGCATTGCTCATTTTTCATGTCTTCCGCTTTAAAAATCCTAATGACTCTACAAGCTTCTTGCAGGATACATTTATAAGCATATATTAGAGAAGTCTGACTTCTGAAAAGTGTCCACAGTTTAACAAACAAGAGAACAAGTGAAAAACTAATAAAATAAAACTGCCCTCTTGAAAATTTAACTTGGACAAGAAATTGTTGAAAAAATTTTAATATTTGAAAAAAATCATTTATTGTTTAATTTAAAGCAAATATGTCAGGAGTTATAATAAATAATAACAATCTTTAAGTGCAAATACATGTTATCTAGAAACTGATAAATGTCCAAATTTCTGCAACAAAATATACGTATTTAAATGCACTACTAACAGTTAGAAAATAAAATATAGTATTTTTAACTGTTATACCTGAATAAATCAGTAAAATAAATTTTGTTAACTACCCATCAAAGTAGGCAGTAGTTATGCAATTAATTTAAAGACTGAATGAAAGTTTCTGAATTGAATTTGAAATTTTAAAAGTGGCACTTTGGTGTGTAGGATTCCTCACTGTATAATTCTAAGTTACAGTTGAAAGTGAAGAATTTTAAGAACTAGTAATAACCACTTGACTGAATAAACTTGGAAAGGGTTAAAAGACTCTTTATTATTCAAACAAGATTTAACAGAACTCCGTCTTGGAGTTGTACAACAAAGCCGACACTTGGGCTTCAACTTAAAGAAACTAAGAATTAAACTAAACTAATCTTAACTAAAGAGATATAGCCGAAGCTATCAAGATTCAACGGAATTGGCTCCTTAACGCTAATTGACTGCGAAGCTATCAAGGACCTAAAGTACGGCCGAGCGTAATAATAGCTTACGAGAGAGTAGCCTAAAAAGGCGGATGCATGCAGCCAGAATATCTGGTATCTCTCTTTGTAAGACAGTAGAACTTCGCGGCTAAATACCGCTCTTCCTCATTAGCATTCAGACGTGATTCTAAAGCTACATTCTGGCCGGAAGTGGTAAGTTGAAATTAAGAAGCGATAGGAAAGGGAGTTTAACTCAAAATTTAACTTTTAATAAAATTAACATAATCCTTACACGTGTTATCGCAAACACCTTAGTAGAAATCACCAAATTTTCAGAATGTGCCAGAGGCAACCATGTGCATAATGATTATTCAGGCAACCATGATTATAAAAATCCTTAAGTCAAGCAACGTTGGCATTTTCACACGCGTTCTTTTTGTTGTATTTCAACGGTTTTATAAAGAAATTATGATAGTATTTTATGCCTTAAAGTTAATTTTAAAATATGCGCGTGTAGAATTTGCCAGTGGTGGAAAAAAATGCTGAAAAATTTCATCAGGAAAGGAGAATTTTGATTCAAAATCTCCAAACAGAATAACGAAAAGATGAGTTTGGTAGATAATCGAGAGTGAGCGATATTGTACGAGAAGATGAGCAAAACACATAGCAGAAAATTTAGAGAGAAATGATATTTCTTATTTTATCACGTAATACTTATTTAACAATTAAAATCTGCATTTAAAATTACTAAAGTTAAATGTTTTCTTTTCACATGTTGATAATATTTTCCAACTTTTAATAAATGTCGATAGTCTGGGAATTATTTAAGTACAAAGTCGCGAAAACCAAAAACTTACACCCGATAAATAACTTGTAGCTTTCATCCGCAAAATATCGCCAAGTTGGTTGCGTTAATACGTAAGTACCTAACAATAATATTATCAATTCTGCAGCAAATAATCATATTTATTGAACTTAAAATAGATGGAACAACTACAGATAATTAGATGCATACAGATAATTCTGAAAACAAACAGAAAGAGGATGAATAAAGTAACCAATAGAAATAAAGGGAAAAGATGAGCAAAAATAACATAACGTATAACTGAAAATCATTCCTAAGGGCATGGAAAATTTCTAAAAATTCTAACTCTCCAACAACAGATGCTTTCTGCACCTTTGTAAACTTTAAAATCAACAGTATTCTAGAAATTCTAGAAAAACAATACTAGAAATATTAGACACAAAAATCTGCAAAATATTCAGAACAAGATTTTAAAATTTTGGTTACCTTACTCAAGCCTTGTAGATATAGGTGATTATCCAAAGTAATGGACACTATTAATTTTTTATGAACATGCTTGGTGTATAACATCAGGTTAACAGCGGCCGAGCGGTAGAATCGTTGAAGTCTGGTAATTCGAACCAGGTTCAAATAAATACTGGCAAAGAGGCTATCTGCATGAGCGTTTTCGAGGGTTTTCCCATGTGTAAAGTTAGAGTGACAGAATTTTCCTTAAAAGGTCTTCCATCAAGGCGCTCCTTCGCTTAGGGAGATAGCTTTTGTCTATTTAAATGCAAATAACTCCAACCTCTAATTCCATTTTTCCTATAAATAGTACAGACATCATTTATTGCTAGCTACGGTAATTAAACTGTAGACGTCGCATTGTTTGTGAATAGTCTAAGATACCAGACTTTAATAACTGGAAGGGAAACTAATTATTGATGTCATTTGTTAAAAGCATCTGCCACCGCAACCGGAGTAACTGGATGTTTCGAAATGCTGTATTCAATGTCTTCACATCATACGAAGTTCACAGCGAAACAACTTCTGCAAAACGCAGTAACGTTCAAAAGAGAAAGTCGAGCGAAAACGAACGACTGGCATTCAATGACATCTAAAAGTAAAATAAGAACTGTAGAAATGCACTCTGCATTTGAAGGGTCAGCTATCAACTGTCACAGTTGCGCTCTTCAACTAAAACTTGCAATGCTCTCTTTTGTGCAATTTTTTTTATTTCTAACGGCAAGTTACGAGACAACTGAATATCAAATAAAATACAAAACAAAGGCCAGTATGTCTATAAACTCAGGACGTTCCTCGCCACCAAGTAACTCTCGCAAATCGAAATTGCAGGGCATTTGCGGAAATGTGGTAAGTCCGAGTCTTTCTTAAGATTGCATAAGGGGCAGAGACACTTCAAAATAGTGTAAAATATGCTTGAACAAAAATGTTTGACCTGTCATTTGCAAGTCTTTTATCTGCCAAATTTTTCAGTCCAATTACTTTTATTCTTTCTCATTAAAATGATTCTGATAAGTTGATTCTGATTAGACCTGACAAGATGGTTCTGACCAGATCAACAATTTCAGACAATGCAAGCTATCCAAAACAACATGACGGATGAACTTCTTTTTACATTCCGCTTGTATTTTTTAAGTTTACCAAATTTTCATTTATATTAATAACCTCTAATAGTTAGGGTTTATTTTAATATTTAAGGTTAATACGTTTTAAATAAATTTTCTTCCTTAAATGTTTTTGGTTACTTTGTCTTATTCTGCACTTTGCTTTTTCAGGTTTTTGGACATTTTGCTGTGTTAATATTATGTAGTAACATCAAATATCCAGTTGTAGTAGGAATTATCAGGTGTATTACAATATGCGAACTAAATGAAATAATTGTATAAGCATTTCTTTAGTTATACTTATTTCTTTAATACTAAACTACTTTCCAAAATATGTGCAGAGTTAATGACACTCAAAGCTTGAAACATATAGTCTAATCCTCTAAAATCTTACACAAAACATCTATGAATCAATTTCTATTCGCTAAAAAATGATTATTTAATAATTCCATACAGCAAATTATTTCAGTACAAAATGAGCTTATTTCAAAATCTGATTTCCCTTCTCACTAAAAAGTAACAAAATGAAAGCAATGTATACATAATTAATATTAATATTACGTTTTTAATAAAGTATTAACATACTTCTCTGTATTAAAGGTTGTGAATCAGCATCTCCCATGATAATAGCTGCTTCCTAAAATTTCCTAGATATAAATTTTTGATTAATTTACTACAAGTTTCTACAATAAAAATTTTGGATATGATGCATAAAAAATGGCGGTTTCAATAAAATTTGAGATTAATAATATTCATTCAGAAGTCTCGTGTCAATTTTGCTACATAAATTAATTACCGTCTCGTTTATTAACAGTGCAAATATTACGGATATTGTACATAATTAAGAAATTGTTTTCCAAGAGCTGGTAACCATAGCATGTTTTAACAAGTTATGTTTGTGAATGAATTAGTAAAGTGTAGCAGAGGTGAACACATATAGTAACCCAAAAAAGGACTGGGGAATAAGAAACTTTCAAACATGTAGTGATAAAAATTTAGTTATATTTTCAAAATTTAGTATTTTTCAGGCACTTACATATTAACGAAACCGCCTTAGTAGACGTCAAAAAAGTTTCAGACTGGGCCAAACTCTGCCAACGATGAGCATAACCATTCTTTCGGTAACCATGCTTATAACAATATCCTTCAATCAAGCAACATGGCCATTTTCGTATGCGCTCTTTTTTGTTGTATTCCAAGTTCAAACAATTTTTATAAAAAAAATCGTCATATTTTTGGCTTTAGTTTTAAGATATGAGCTTGTGGAAGAAAATGAAGTAACATTTTTGCAAGAATATAGAATTTTGCTGAACATTTTCTTAAGAAAACAATGAAGAAATGCGTTTCCTATATAGCCGTTTTTGCCGAGGTTTGTACGAAGCCGAGTCCCCTCAATATTCTGATCTTTTTTAAGCGAAAACAGATCGCTGTGTACTTCCGGAGAAGAATGACGAAAAAAATTCACGGAAAGATTTGAAGAAAAATGTAAATGTTTTATTTTTTATAGATCACGTAAGTGTTATTTAGTAATTAAAATTTGTATTTTAAATTTCTAAAGCATATTTCCTAACAGTGTTCAGCGACTTTACCGATCGGCCACTTAATGGGCCCAAGAACGCATCAGATTTTATTCTATTTACATCACACTCATTCTTTGAAAAATTTCAAGCTTCGAAATATGCTGAAATTTCAAATTTGACAGACGACAGTATGATAAACCGACAACTGAGTTTGTTTTCAAATTTCCACATACTATTCATCATAATTCTGTGTGATGAAAAAATTAACTTTGCCGTCATGTTGTTTTTAAATCACTATTAAACGTTTACGCCTAAACTATTTTACATCGAATCAATGTTTGGCCTTACATATAGTATATCAATTGTTTGACAGTTTGTTTACTTCTTGATTTGATCCTTTTTCTTATCAACCATTAATGGTACTGTGATATGAATTACACATTGAGACAGGTTCAAACTTAATTGGTTAAATTATTGTTGCAATAATAAGATCCAAGAGCCATGAAAAATGAAATAAATTGAAAGATTTTGCTGAAAAATTAGTATGGAAGATAAATGTATATAAATAAAATTAATTAGTGGTAAGGTAACTAGATGTGCTAGCCAAAGTTCCAGCATTTGAAGCCTGAAAAAATTTTTTCCTCCTTTTTTACTTAATCATTTCTGTTTTCATCAAAGATTTTTTGTTTGGAAGGTAGTAATTTCATTCAAGCTGCTTTTGATGATTGTTATCCAAACTATTAAAAGGAAGCATTTACAAATGGGAACGCTTTCCGTTTATTTTCATCGCAAAGACAGACATTTCTAAAGTAAAGTAATGGTGCATGTATTGACTAAATCAATAAAAATACCTCCTATTTAATGACTTATTTAATGAAGAAAGATTAAAGTTTTAAACTCACATTCATTAAATGATATCATGATTCGTAAATATTTTGTGGTATTAAGTGTAGTGAACGGCTATGTATAAATCCTTATCCGTTGGAGCATCTAATTATTTTTTAGACTAAGGATATAGTCATAAGTATACTGTTCTCTTATCTTTGAATAAATATTCTTTTATTTAACAATGAATTTAAATACTGGTGATTACCGCAATGAATCAAAGGGTCTAATTGATGCAATTTATACATTCAAGTAACAAATATGTGAAAATCTCCAACTGTGAAGGAATATAAAGCGAATAAAGCTGTATGAAATGAAGAATTGGAGAAAATTAGCATTTGTTTTTTAATTTTAGCAGGCATGATAAGCAAGATAGTTAATCAAGTCTTGAAGTTAATCCTCAATCTTAAAAAAACAAAATATGTAAAGAAATGAAAAGCGGAATCTAGATTTTGAAAAATGTTTATGTGAAGATTGCGTTAAACAAAAATTCGTGTATTCACACATAAAGATCAAATTTTCTTTTACAGTAAAATGTTCAGTTACCGGATAGAGAATATAAATAAATGACTGAAAGGGTAACCCAAAAAGATGGTACTTAAATTTATTAGCAATAATTTAGGTATGATAATGAAGCAATACAGTTAAGTTTTAAAAACGTAAATTCTAAACATTTAAAAATGTATGGAAGATCAGATGTCAGTCTAAATCTAACAATAACGTTTGTAAGTCCAATAGAAAAACAAAATTTAAAAGGGATTAGAAAAATAGTATTGGAATGAAGCTTAAGGAAACCATATTCATTTGTTTTCTAAAATTCTTTGCTAATATTATAATGTGGCAAATATCAGAAGGCAGATTTGTTTGTTTATTTAATTATGGCAAAATACACTAGCGCTATCTGCCTAAGGAGAGAGATGCCTTCACTGAGGACTTTCTAAGAAAAATAGGTTGGTATACACACTCAGAGGGAAAACCACGAAAAACGCCCACGAAGCCAACCTGTTCATTGGGATTCGAACCCCGGACGAACTACCCGTGTTCCGCGACTTTATCGCTCCGCGGCTGGTGAGCTGTTCGAAGGCCCAAATTAATGTTTTATTATTAAATTCCTACTATTAGCTTACACTCTTCCTATATCTTGTTCAAATCTTCAATCGTTAATAAAATACTTTTTATTCATCCATTTAAGTTCAAATACATTTTTTAAACTTGTAGTGGATGACACTTGATGTTAATACAGTTTTTTCACATATTCAAAATTTTTAATTAATTTCTTTTTTTGTATTTAAATTTTTTTAAATTTTTCTTTGTTGACCTAAGTAGGAATTACTTAATTTTTTTGTTTTAAATTAATTAATTAATTTTCAATCGTTAATAAAATATTTATATTAATCAACTGAAGTTCAAATATTTTTAACTTTGTAGTGGATAGGTTAATACAATTTTTTCACATATAAAATTTTAATTTATTTATTATTATTTATATTTAAAAATTTTTATTTGTATTTTAAATTTTT